TTTTTTTTTTTTTTTTGCTTTTTTCAAAAAGCGTCAGTGTTAGTATTATTATTATTATTATTATTGTGGTAAAAAGTTATTAAAAGTGAGGAAGCAAGGTTAAACGTCAGTGTTTTCTTGCTTTGGATTGCTTCTTTTTTTTTTTTTTTGTTCTCCCCTTTTTAGTTTGTTTGCTTGTTTTTTATACTGTCCTATTTCAACAGGAAGTTCGTGTTTTGTTTTATCATCATTATTATCATTATTTGCAGTTGTATTCTTGTTCCTGAATGACTTTATTATTGAAATCGATATATATATGGTTATTTATATGTTTATTCCTATTCATTCATCCTAGAGTATTATCTGATCGTGTTTGATCTCTTCCTTGTCTCAAGTGCGCATGTACGGGTTTTTTTTCCCCTTTTTTTCAGTGAGTTTTTTTTTCTGTTTTTTTATCCTTGTTTTCTTCCTTTTGCTTTTCTTGTTGCTCCTGTTCTATTTGGTTGTTGTTGCTCTGTTTTTTTTTTTTTCTACTTTGTAGACTTTTACTACAGTTATGTCAACTGTATTATATATATATATATATATATATATATATATACGGGTATTCATTTTTTTTCCTTTGTTTCCTTATCACTTATTTATCATTTCAGATCTTTCTCTCTGTGTATATGTTCTTGTATACTGACCTCTTTTTGTTTTTCTTCTGATGTTCTCTTGATTTGTGTATGTCTGCTTCTGTGTGTGTTTGTACTATTTTTTTTTTTTTTGTTGTTTCTCTTGTCTTTTCTTCTCTTTAGGTACTACTACTCTACTACTATTATTATTATTACTATTGGCTCTGCGGAGCCACGCAAAGAAAACAACATAAAAAAAAAAAGAACGAATAGGGAATAGATCAAGGAACGAAGCATAAACCCAATTCCTGCCTTATTATTACCTCCCATCACTCACAGATCCCCCGTATCCACACACACACACATATATATATATATATATAGACACATCCCTCTCTCTCTCTCTCTCTCTCTCTCTCTCTCTCTCTCTGTGTAGATGCAGCCGCAGGATGAACTCGGGGTTCGCGCAGCCCTCGCGGCCCCGCCCTTCTCCGCCTTCTGCGCCCTAAAAAGCGACGAGCCCCCGCGCCGCGGCTCCCTGGCGGCCCTCTGCGGCGGCGATCCCGCCCAGCGACCGGCGGCGGCCCCGGCCTTCGAGCAGCAGTACCGCAGCCGCCTCCCGCTCCTGCCAACCACCGTGGAGGCGTACGGCCGGTCCGCCGCGGGGGTGGTGGTCGAGCAGAGTCACCTGCGCACACCGATGGCATTAGAGAAGAGTATGCACTTCCTTGTGCATCACTACTTGCGTGAACCACACACACCGGCGGTATTTCTGGCGCCTTTTGATGTTTGGCGGCATTTGTGGGATCGTATGCGACAGGTTCGAACCAATTGGGTACCACAACTACCACCTGTAGGGACAGAGTGTTCATACGATTATAACTACAGGAGTAGTGGTAATAGTAGTAATAGTAATAATGGTGAAGAGAATGAAAACACTGTAGATGATGTCGTGTTGCGTACAATAAAAGAGTCTAAACGACGATTGCGTTGGTTAGAATTTACCGTAGCGGCATTAGCATTAGGTGGAGCCAACTTGTGCCGTACAACGCAAGGGTGTAAACGATATATGGAGGAAAAACAAAACTTTCTTGAATCTATTGCACAGTGTTTTGGTGATTTGGTACTCTCCTACCGTGCAGAACAGCGTTTACGTAATTCGGAGATGTTCTCCGCACTTATTATCTTTTATGGTCTTTCACAGTTAACAAAGATTGAAAACCGTGCTGGTTTTTGTCGTGTGATGGAAGTCACTCTTGCCGGTGATGCCGCTCCTACACATATTTTTGAACCCCCCAGTAGTAGTGTAGACTTTGCAAGTGTTTACCGTGAATTGGCGTGTTTACCACAAATGGCCAACACCCGTCATGTACGTACAGTTATGCGTCTCATTCACTGTTGGTGTCAACGTGCATGGTTCCGTTTCTTCTATTTATGCCGTACTGCCAGGCTTACAGTCTTGCAGCGGGCGATGGTATTTCATTCTTTTGCCTATGCTCGTTTTCGTGCTGTGGTAGATCTCGTCACGGCGAATGCGGTGGTGTATAGTAAAGTGCGGGTTCGTGGAGAAATGGCGGTGGATCAATTGGCGGCGTTACTCTTAATGGAACCCGCCCATTGTGTGGAATTACTAGAGACAATGGGGCTAACAGGACAGATGAGTGCAGATCGACGTACCTTATATCTCGCCCGGCATGATTCCTCTCCATATACAACACAAGAAGCGATTTATAAACATTTAGAAGAAACAGGTGGAAAACAACGTCTCTGTTTACCAACGTTTCCATCTTTTTTTGGTTTTAAAGTATGGCGTAAGGCATTTGATTTGTTTCCAGATGCACTTAATGGTAATGCAGAAATGGCAGATTTACGTAATATGACGTGTCCAGTTAATCTTATGGAATTATTAGAACCGTATTGTCCACCGTATAATGAAGATGTTGCGGCATTAGAATTGAGAGATGCAGGGAATGAATGGTTTCATGATGTCCAGACATCAAGGGAACGTATGCTGTGGAGATGTAACAAACGCAACTCATACCGTCGTCATATGAAAACCGATGAGGATATTAATAATAATAATAATAATAATAATAATAATGAGGATGGGGATGATGAGGAAGGGGAAAGAGAAAATGCTTATAATGATAATAATGATTATGATGATGATGATGATGATGAAATGAGCTATGGAAGTGATGGGAGTGATGTAGAGGAATTGGATGAACATGAGAAGGAATCAAGAAGGGCTGTGATAGCGGCACTCGATAGAGAAAGTAAATCCACTAGTAGTTCTATCTTTGATGACTATGATGATGATGATAGTGGTAATGATGATAATAATAATAATAATAATAATAATGATAATACTTCTGGAATGGTAAAACCATTGGGAGAATGGAAAGAAGAGGAAATGGAAACAACAGATCAGGAGGGAAATCCTGAAAGTGAAGAGAATGAAGTTCTGCGTAACGCCACCACACTGATTCAATCCCTGCAAAATGATAGAATGTATGCTAAAATACGTGAAGAGATCATGCAAGAAAATAAGCGAAAGAAATCCCTATCGAAAGAGACGGATGAAGAAGATCGAACAGCCACACCAGCATCATCATCATCATCATCATTAGCAACAATGAGAACAACAGAAGAAGAAGAAGAAAATAATAATAATAATAATAATAATAATAATAATAATAATAATACAGAATCCCAACAACAACAACAACAACAACAGAGTTCTATTCCATGGTTAAGTCTTCCCCCACCAAAGAAGGAAGTTGTGGTCACACCGTTGCCAAATGATCATCCCGCCAGAATGTCGCCAAGTCTACGGGCCACTGTAGAGACACCGCAGAGTGTAGCGGCTCCAACAGCCATGGATGAAGAGTTAAGAATATTGGAGGAACTAAAGGAAGAAGAGGAAGAAGAGGAAGAGGATAATGATAATGATGATGATGATGATGATGAAGAAAACAGCAGTAAAGAGAGTACTCCTCATAAACAGCTTATGGAGAGTCAAACAAAAAGAAGTGAAATAACGAAAGCATCACTTTCTTTTCCAGGTGTATTTCCTCGTGGACCAATAACCTTTCCATCTGTCCCTCCTCCTCCATCATCATCACAACAACAACAACAACAACATCCATTACAAAAACAACCGAGAAGAGAAATGGAAGAGGAAAGTAATGAAATGCCTTCAAGAACAAAGCGTGTGAGGGCAGAACCCACACAAAATCGCATTCCTCCAACTTTCTTTACACCACAACAGGAAAAGGAACGACAAGGTCAACAGTTGGATCTTAATAGTAGTCTCACAGATTCCGTCTCAAGTCGTATTATGCTTCTACCGTTTGAAAAGGAACAAGAAGAGCATTCACGTGGTGGTGTTGTTGATAATGATAATGATAATGAAAAAGAAGAAAGTACATTACCACGACGACGTATGCGATTAGAACAAACAACAACAACAACAACAGCTTCAATGATGTTATCCAAACAACAATCATTAGGAAAAGCAGAGGATGAGTCACAGACATTTGATGCTCAGGGAATGAGAAAAGTAACCTTTGCTACATCTACCTCTCAAGTCCCACCACAACCACCATTAATGATGCCTCCGCAGAGTTTACCCATCTCTTCTAAAAGAGTGGGAATTACGAAAACAGAAGTTATTACAGAGAGGAAATCTAAGAGAATGACGTACCAAGAAACTATTAAAGCATATATGAAAAAGAATCCAAATACATCACGAGATTTTAATACTACTACTACTAGTGGTACACCTCTCTCTATAGATAAGAGTGCCTCACTGTTATCTTCATCTTCATTTCTATCAGGAGTAAGTAATCCAGTAGATGAGGATGCACCACAGTGGATGCGTGCATTTGTAGACTATCTCCTTCGATTCTTTACCGCATCTTATGATGATCCCTTAGCGTGTAGATATCTCTCTGAAGTTATTTGTGGTGATCCAGACGCACAGGCACGTAAACTCGCTGGTTGGTTTTGTCGTGGTTTTACACCCACAATAAATGCATACCCCTGCCAAGAATTATTAGTACCGTCTGTAGGTAGTACTACTTCTCTTCAATCCATGAAAACACTAATACTTCACCTAAACTCGACAGTTATCGTTTTTGGGAGTGGTATTCGTGATGAGGATAATGATAATGATAATAATAATAGTAATGATCTGGATACAACCGTTTCTTCATTACATCGCTCTATTGTTCGCCCCACAATGGAGGAGAAGGCGTTATCTGAACTACTTTCCCTCATACCAGAAGGCATTGATGGTGATATCTCATTAAGAACAAACACCACCACTACTACCCCAATAGCATCAACCACAAGAAGAAGAAGAACAACAACAACAATGAGAAGTATTTTGCGGGATTGTTCACTGGGTCGTTGGGTAGCGGCGTTGCTGCTCTCTAAACGAGATGGTGCATGTCTCCTCACCTCCAGTTCTGTCTATGGCATTAACACAGAAGATATGGATAACGCTGTGGGTGATAGTAGTGAAGATAATGAGGAAGCAGTTTTGCGTAATGGTGAGAAGATTGGGCTTTGGGAGCAACTGCATTCCTTACGTATGGCCGCTGGAAGATGTTCCACAGAAATGGGATTTGATTACATACAACCTGCAGCGATGACGACAGTGACAACATCTGCAGGAGCGGCTCTACGGTGTTCATCAGGCAGATCACGTGAGGCGATGGTGCAGACTCAACTCTCACTCTACGCGGTAGACTCTCGCGATGTTGGACGTCTACGTTGGGCGTCAAGTGAGAAGAATGAATGGAAAGGTGAGAAGGAAAGAGAAGAAGAAGAAGAAAATCATTCTTCTATGGAACACCTTACCGCTATTGTAACTCTAGATGCACGGCGACCAGCTGAATATGAAGAGGGTCTTCATACACTAACACTTCTTGTGCAGCAGGCGGTGGAGCAGCAGAGTGTTTTCCTCGCGGGTGTTCTTGTTGTTTTGCATACATCTAGTGTAGAGAAGGATGTGGAGTTGCAAGAGAAAGTAGAGAAGTTCTTCTGGGATATATGGAGAGAGTCCACACATCACATGGAAACAGTGAGAAAGAGAAGAAGAAGAACAATAAAAGAGGAGAAGGAAATACCATCGTGGCGCCGTGCATATCAAGAAACTATACGTCGTGCTGTCGTTAGTAGAAAACAACAAGAAGGAGAGGAAGAAAAAGAAAAAGAAGAAGAAAAGAAGAAAAAGATGAGTACAATGAGCGCCTTACACGCTTCACGTATCTCTCTTCTTAAAAAGAAGACAGACCGTAGTGGTAGTCATGTTAGTAAAAGAGTGAAAAAGAAGAAGAAGAATCAGGGTTTCTTCAGTAATGTAGATGCAAATGAGATGATTGGCGCCAATGCGAATGAAAGTCCAGTGCCAATTCCTACATTTCTCATTATGCCCATCCGCACAGCTATTAAAGAGGAGGAGACGGGAATAACGAGAATAGGCCTTAACAACAACAATAATAATAAGAGATCTTCACATAATAATAATAATAACAATAATAATAATAATAATAATAATAATAATAATAATAATAATAATAATAATAATTCCTATGGGAAGGATGGGGATTTTATTATGAACAATGCGGAGGTCGTGCGAGTGGCCCTTCAGCGAACGGTGAGTGAACTCCTCTACGACTATGAAACCCAACGGAAGGCATTTCTGCAGAATCGATATCCACAACCCCAACAACAGGAAGAAGAAGAAATTGAAGAAAAAGTGGAAAAAGGTTTCACACGAAAGGGAGTGTGTTCAGAGAAATGGGTGAAGGTATAAAATAGACAACGTGTAAAAAAAAAAAAAAAAAAAAGAAATGGAGAAGGAAAGAAATGGAAAGAACTTTTGTTATTAGGTTTTTTTTTTCTACTTTTGCTTCTGTTAATCTTTTTTGTTTGTTTGTTTGTTCTTGTTTTCTTTCTCTTTTTAGTAGGGTATGTATCTTTCTATTGTTGCTTTTTAGATAAGAATAATTATTTTTTTTTCTTTCTTTCTTTCTTTCTTTCTTTCTCTTTCTCTCTCTTTTTTTCTTCTCTAAGTATACATTTATCCATAGACTATAGAAGAAAGGTCATTACTTCACATCAACTTACTTACTTGCTTTGTTCATATTATTACTGAATATCCACAGAGAGAAAAGCGAAAAAAGAAAAAAAAAACAAGATAACATTTAAACAACAACAACATCGAAAAGAAGAAGAAATACAACTGTCATAGCCTTGAGAGGAAAGAAAAGAAAAAAAAAAGAAAAAAAAAAAAGAAAGCGAAGGGATAAGAGAAATGGTGTATCTACTCGCCAGGAGTGTTGTCCTCTGTCTATTGCTGGATCAACGCGGCCAACCCGCTGTTGTGCGGGAGTTTGTGCGTGAGGAGTGGAACTTACTGCAGGAAGTCCTACTGCCATCGGAACTTCAACACATACTGTGGCTATGGCGTCGATTGGCAAATGAAGTGGAAATGAAAGAACAACAACAACAACAATCGCTTACGAATAATAATAATAATAATAATAATAATAATAATAATAATAATAATAATAATAATACCACTACGACTACTACTACAACAACAACTACTACTACCACTAATAACAATAATAACACTAATAATATTAATAATAATACGACTACGACTACTACTACCACTACCACTACTACTACTAATAATAACAATAATAATAATAATGAGGCTAATAATGGTGGAAGGGGGAATGGAAGTGATGATGACGATGTGGACAGCATGTCTCTCCCCCGCAAGCCGCTCACGGATGCTGTGGCCCAACTCACCGTACGCGATGTTGTGCAGTATCTCAGAGATAAAGAATACTACTCCACCCATACACACTCTGCAGAGAGTAATAGTAGTAGTGGTAGTAGTGATGATAGGAGTTTGAATAGGAATATGTACATGATGGGTGAAGAGAAAAGATTCCAGTGTATAACGGCAGAGCAGTTGTGGGTAATGAAGCGTCTGGCCATACTTGTACGTCGTGCAGTGGCTCTGCAAGTCCAACATGTGCTCCCATCGCCTAATACTAAGAATAATAAGAATAATAACATGGATGAGGAAGAAGAAGATGATAATAATAATAATATTGTGTTTGACCAGCAGGTATTCCAGCATGAGTGTAGTGTACTTGTGCCACTTCGTGTGTGTCGTCAGGTCTCCGGTCTCTCACTACGTCAAGTGGTGGCATTGTGCACATCAGAAGATAAACGCTTGTCAAGAAGAACAACAACAACAAAAGAAGAAGAAGAAGGAGAAGGAGTGAAGAAGGAAGAGAAGAAACGTGTTGGTTGTAAAAACTCTACACTTGCGCTTATTATAAACCCTGCGGTGCCGACCAGAAATAATCCACAACGCATTGAAAAGAACAGACGACTTGATAAGATTCAACACACTGTGCTATCACAATGCTATGAGAACATGACACGTACTGGTAGAGGTGGTAGGAGTAGTCATCATAATATTAATAACAGTAATAATAATAATAATAATACACTCCCTCTTTTCTCCTCTTATCGGCAACAGCAACAAGAACGAGAGGCTGCAGCGGAGTCCTTTGCAAGTTTTCTCCGTGATGTTTCTATTGGGTTTGATATGCAACTCATGGTACTCTCTGGTGGAGTTGTGGGATATTATTTGGCCCATCTACACGGAATGCCCACAGGGATGTGTATTGTGTTTGCGGTTGTGGGTCTTATCGGGATGTTATTTGTCGATGGTATTCTCTTTCTCCTGCGGATGGGGAAAGTGGATGCGCAGACACGGAAAGAGAAGGAGAAATTCTGGAAACTATACATCGGTAGAAGAGAACGACGAGAAGAAGAGAAAAAAGAAGAAGAGGAAGAAGAAAAAGAGAAACAAGAAAAAAAGGAACAAGAAGAAAAGGTACTGCGGCAACTGAGAAAAATCCGCAACGCAAATGAGAAAAAGAGTGATAATGATAATAATGATAATAATAAGGATGATGAGGCTGGTAATGATAATAACAATGATAATATGGATTTGTATGCAAAGAAGAATTCTTAAAATTGGAGTCAAAAGGGAATAAAGACTTGTATGTTTCCATACATTACTTATTCCTCAATCTTTTCTACATGTACTGGGGGTGGTGTTTGGTTTTATTGATACTACTGTTATTTCTTATCAATCATTTTATTATTATTATTATTATTATTATTATTATTATTATTATTATTATTATTATTATTATTATTATTATTTTTATTTTCGTTGTATACCCCCACCCCTGTTCTCTATTTCTCTCCCTCTCTCTCTTTCTCTCTCCCTCTTTATCTATCTATATATCTCTATCTCACTCATACAGAACACATATTGTGTTGTTTTCCCTATTTATTACTGTTCGTATTTCTGTAAAATATATATATATATATACAATTTGCTTAAACCAACTATATTTATTAACTCTACACGCTTTTTGCACGTAGAGTAACCCTTAAGAAGGAGTGGGACTGTGGGAGATTTTGAGGATGGAAGACGGTGCGTCACCACCTATACGTATACCTCAAGAGGGAGAAGGAGGAGGGGAAGAGAGGCAATCAGAGAAGGCGTATACCCCAAACATGCAGATCACTGCATATTATCATCAAGAAGAAGAAAAAGGAGAAAATGAAAAAACTGAAAAAGTAAAAGAATTGTGGAAAGAAGATTTATGTGTGGCACCTGGTGAGTTTGTTTTATTGTTATGTTTGGTGCGTCCACTGGAGTCCTCTATCTCTGCAGATATCTGTGGATCTTCAGATTGGCAACACGCCTCTACAGTTGGACTCGGACCATTTCTCTTTCTCTATGCCCAACGTGTAAGGGATGTAGACGGTCATTGTGCCTTTACAATTAAACCAATGATGGACACACCACTATTACCAACAGTTTTACATCGTCTAATGGTATCATGGACGAATAATAATAATAATAATAATAATAATAATAATAATAATAACACGATATCATCATCATTGTCGTCGTCGTCGTCGTCATTGGTACAATTGCAGTGTGTACAGATGGTGTCATTGCGGCAGAAAGAGAAGGATGAGTCTCTCTTTTCTCCCTCCACAGAGAAGGATACGTCTGTGATGGGATCTGTATTGCTTGTGCGAAGAGATGGTGTGATGTTTACACGTTCATGTGGTCTTCCTACATTGAGTATGCATGTACGTGGGCAAAAAAGCGAGTTTTATGAAAAAGAAGTGGGAGATGCAGAGAAGAGTGAAGTTCCTATGGATGTAAAGAGACTTCTACTGATGTTTCTCCGAGATGTGTCCAGATGGAATGTCAATATCCTCCAGCACTGTGGTGTTTTGGTAAATGGACGCCTTACCTGCCATTGTGTGAGTAAGCACGAAGAAGAAAAAGAAGAACAACAAAAACAAGTTGATTTGATTGTACGGGCCGTGTGTTATCTACATCAGAAATATCAAGAAAAAGAAGAAAAGGGAGAAGAAAAAGAAGGAGCTGAAATAAATTTCACTCAGATATTTCTTGGATGGGCACAGGAAATGTATAACTCCCTACTGACATCCTCATCTTATCATCATCTTCTTCTTTCCCGTGACAAAACAAACTCAAATACCGTGGAGAAAAGGGAAACAAATGTCAATATGAATACAGAGAGTATGAACAATAAAGAGTTGACGAAATCCAAGTCATTCCCTATACATACTTGTGTTGTGGGAAGAGATATACTCCGTGTAGGGGAGGCGAAGAACATAATAAACACAACGAACATACAATCACGACTAGATACCACACCGTTGTTTTCTACATTTCTCTCCAGTGGTGTTGACAGCAATGAGATGGGAAGGATCACTGGAGGAGAAGCCGTGTTAAAGCAAGAAGAACAAGAAGAAGAAGAATTTCAGAAGAATAAAAAGAATAATAATCATAATAATAATAATAATAATAAGCATCAATATGGAGATGTTAATAACGTACAGAAAAGAAAAACCGTCGATTGTAAATGTGGACGACATGTTCCACTTGTATCTTTTTGTAATGAAGCCATTATTGAGGCTTTTAATCTTCAAAAACAACGTCAAGAACAGGAAAAACAGCAAAAGTGGCAGGCTAACTCTTCTTGTTCTTCAGTTCCTTCATTACAGAGTGAACTCTTGGGTGGAATAAATGCTAATATCCTCTGCAGTAGAGGACCTCATATGAAAGAAATGCCTGTTACCGATATGATGATACCATCAACTATTTACCATGATCGTTTAGAAGTGAATGAAGAGATATTGGAATGTACAAATAGTATACTTTGCAAGAATAATACGAGTAAGAACCGCGGCAAAGATGGTAGTAGTAATAGTAGTAGTAGTGCTAGTGGCTTTCTTCCAAACTTTATTCATCGTCTTGTGGTTAAGAATGAGTTTCCTCTAAAAAGTCATTCCGCTCGTCAGTTTTCAAAAATTGCACGAGGTGATATATTTCCTTCAGAAGAGATGTTAAATAATGCCAATGTACTTCGACGACGCCTGCGTGAACCCGTCAGTGTTTGGCTGTATGATTTGGAACCACAACAGTTATTCTCTTCAGGTGAATCTTCTGCATCCATGTTTACATCATCATCCACTGTTTCTGGTATGTGCAGCCACAGAGGACATCCATGCTCTTTATTTATCACAGAAGCCGATATTATTTTGGTGAGTGCTTTTGGTGATGTGCGGAGACGGCAACACATGAGATCTCATGATCATGTAAATAGCCGTAGAGGTGTATTCCGAAGTAGTACAAGTGCAGTCTTTCCTCACCTTACGCCTGCTGCTGGTGCGGCTGGTAGTAGTAGTAGTCTTGGTAAAAGTAACGCGAGAAGTAGTAGTGGTGGTTATAGTAATAAAAGTCCCAGTAGTGATAATAGTAGTACTAGTAGTACTAGTAGAAGTAATAGTAGTAGTAGTAGTAATAGTAGTGGTAGAAGAAGTAGTAGAAGTTCCAGTAGTGGCAGTAATAATAATAATAATAATAAAAGAAGAAGAAGAAGAAGCAGAAAAAGAAAAAGTAATAATGGTATGAACAGTAGTGCTGTTAAGAGTAACGACAGTGAAGACAGTGGGGACAGTAGCTCTAGTGAGAGTCCAAGTAAAGTACGACACGTACTTGTGATTCCCCGAGTTTCATTAATGGAAATACAACCGTATGTGAAACCCGTTGATGGCATTGCAACTATATTGCGATTGCAAACTCGTTCCTGTCGTCGTTTATGGCTGGTCTTTCAACAGGAATCCACATTCCGTGCGGTGGAGAGTGAACTCATGAGTGGAATAAAGTCTTTTTATGGAAATCGTTTCTTAGCAAGTGCACAGCGGCCGTGGCGAATGACAGCACTCACACTCGTCGCTGCAGATGTGCTGCCAACACCACACACACCTTTTTATCAACAAGTGTTGAAAAATCTTCTCGTGGCTTTTGCAGATGTGGAGGCTCGCCGTAAACAACAACAACAACAACAACAACAACAACAATCAAAAGAAGAAGAAAAAGAAAAAGAGAAAGAGAAAGAAAGAGAAGAAGAGGGGAATGATTGGTGGTTGTATTCCGCTGCGGAGGAGTATGAACGTCAAGGCATTCCTGCCCGACAGTGGCGACTCTCCGATGCCAATCGCGAACACACGCAGTTCCCCACTTATCCATCACAGTTTGTTGTGCCTAATGCGATGAGTGATGAGATTTTATTAAAGGCGAAGGAATTGCGTGTGCGGAGTCGTGTGGAGGCACTTTCATTTTATTATGCCCCTACAGGTGCTGGAATTGTGCGGACAGCTCAACCAACTACCACGTATACATTTCTTTCACGTTCATTAGAAATTAATACAATAGATGCCTATCGCCGTGCTGCTGGTATGCGATTACGTTTACTTGATTTACGTAGTCGAATGAATGCCTATGGTAATACCCTTTGCGGTGGTGGATTTACCTTTCGTGGAGAAGGTCGATTCTGTTCATTAGTGAATATACATGATGTGCGGTCTGCGTATAATGCCCTCTGTGCGGAAGTACTAGACAGTAATCCAACATTCCCTACAGTATTACGCACCTTTGCAGCGATTACCGCCATCACACGTAAAGGGCATAGTAGTAGTAGTAGTAGTAGTAGTAATAGTAATCCATCTGTACAAAGCACAACTGTTGCCGGATTGCCTTCTCTCACATTACAGCAGCCACAACTACAACAATCCTTTAAAGCTGCAACAACGTGGATGGATTATATTTATGCACTTCTTCAAACTGCAGGAGATGCGGCACGACATGTGGCTGGTGTTTCGGATGAAGAGGCACTTCCCCCTGCAGTGAAGGGATCTGCAGAAACAACAAATACAACAACTACAACTACTACTAATAATAATAATAAGATAACAAATGCAATGTCGGTGGTTGGAGGTGATCGTATTTCTCATGGATCCTCTACGATGTATTTATGGATGCGGGCATTTAGAGCTATACTCTTTGGAGGTGGAAAGAAGAGAAATAATGGTGGGGAATCTCTCTTACCGTATAGACCACCATCCTATGCACCTATACAGAGTCGCAAGAGAGCACAATTGGTGATGGTAAACTGTTCAGATGGATGGGATCGCACACCGCAGGTGTGTGCCCTCACACAATTACTGTTAGATCCATACTTCCGCACTGTGGAAGGATTTATTACACTTCTTGAGAAGGAGTTTGTTGCGTTTGGGCATCCGTATATCACTCGCTCCTCTACTCTGCATGGACACAGTGATGTGGATCGCAGCAATAATTATTATAATAATCATAATCAACACAATAATCATAATCATAACAGTAATAACAATAAGAGTAATAATAATAATAATAATAATAATAATAATAATAATAATAATAACGGCAGCAGCAGCAGCAGCGGTGAGTTACCTGAAGGAGCCGGTGATGATTCTACAGCAGTAAATGCGAGTGAGAACAAGAAGAGTGCACCTATTTTACTGCAGTTTATAGATGCCGTTCGACAGTTACGTCAAATGTACCCCCATTGTTTTGAGTTTACAGAGGCATTCCTCTTATTATTGATTGATGTAATGCATGCTGGTCTGGTTGGAACGTTTGCGGTAAACTGTGAGAGTGATGTTCGGCATTGGGAGATGGAGCAGCGGACACTTTCACTCAGTCAATTCTTCGCTGTACTCTTCGCCACAACCATTCAAACAACGTCAACAACAACAACAAGAGAAAGCGAAAGAGAGGAAGAAGAAGAAGAAGAAAGAGGAATTATAGGAGCAGATCTCAGTACAACTGGGGTACATAGTTCTAGTGTGACGAGTAGTCATATTAATGATCGCCATCACAATGTGGATGGGAGTGGTGGGGATGTTCTTCTTAACAATGAGAATGAAGATGGTGCTGAGGATAATCATAATAATGTTAATATTAATGTTAATAATATTAATAATAATAATTTTGGTTGTAGTACTAGTACTACTACGGATGTTGGTATTGATATAAATCATCATGAGCATCAAAATGAGAGGTATGAAAACAAGAAAGATAAAGATATGATAAAAAACACTTTGGAGAAGAATGGATCTGCTGGTCCTTCCCCATTTATTCCATTACGATGTTTTTATCAATCCTGTGGTGGTGGATCCTCTCTATGTGAGGTTGGATGGTGTTCATCTCATTCAACAACTCTATCAAATAATAATAATAATAATAATAATAATAATAATAATAAACCACGCCGTCTACACATCTCACGAGATGCCTTACTACACTCTGGTCTAATTAACCCATACTTCTCATTGGAGGATAATAAACATGTGATTGGGCCTCTGCTGGATACTATACGATCTACACATCTCACTCCATGGGAAGGGTTCTTTCTACGGTATAATTACTGGTCGGAGTGGCGAACAAAACTACGGTCTTTTAGTGAGTGTAGTCCACATACATTTCATGCAGCCGCTGTGTGTTCAGTGGATATGAATAGCGCAGACTCTTCAATCTCTATTCCACATTCCACAGAACTTCAACAACAACAACAACAACAAGAAGAAGAAGAACAACAACAACAACAAGAGGCATATCCTTCATATCAACAGAAGTGTCAACCATCGATGGAAAGACGACCGCACTCCACTCCCAGTGTAGTTCTCACAGAGTCCTTGAATGCCTCTCTCTCGGATCCACGCATATCTATTCCAGTTACTCCTCCACGTGGAACTTTGATTGGCTGTGGTAATAGTAATAGTAATATGAATAATATGAATAGTATTAATAGTAATAACGCACACACAATGACAACAACAGCAGCAGTAACAGGTATACTTTATGCAGGAAGAGTGGGAAATAGTGGACGATTGGCCCCACGCACACTTCCACGTGCGGCCTCATACGCAGCGATGTCAGGATTTCAATCTTCTTCACAGTCAACACCACAAAAACAGCAAGAACCACAACAACCACAACAACAGACAAACCCTCCTGTACGGCAAACATCACGAGGAAGAGGCTACGGCACTTTGCTTGACGAACTTGATCAAGCTTTCACGGAATAATTGACTTGTTTCTTTTTTTTTTTCTATAATTATTATTGTTGTTGTTTTCATTCTTTTCTTATTATTATTATTATTATTATTATTATTTGTCCTTCCACGTTTGACTATTTGTTTGGTTTTTTTATTTGCTAACCATTTGATGGTATGGTTTATTCCTACAATCCATTTTCATTCTGCACACCCCTGCATACACATTGTTTTCATCTCTGTGTTTCTTATGTAATAATAATAATAATAGTAGTAATAATAATAATAATCGTAAATAAGTAAATAAATAAATATTGATGATGATTGTTGTGATATGATGCTCTGTACAGATAAGAAAAAGGGTGTTTATCTATTTATCTAAGAAGAAAATAAAACAAAATGGGTACGCCCAAAATAACACCTATGGATGTGTAATGGAATGGATAAATGTATGACTAGTGTAGTTACCAAAATTCCCCATAAAATACCTTTTATGAACAATAATAATATTATTATTAATAATCCACAGACAACTATGAACAAGTCCCTATTGGTATATTATATATATATATATTCCTTAATGGTTCTCAGTTGGTCCACTTTTTTTTTCTTTTTTTCTTTCTTTCTTTCTTTCTTTTCTTTTTTTGAATTTATTTACTTTATTGAAGTCTTCTCGACATGGTAAGCCATGGCAGACGAGATGGAGCCGCCGTATACAGAGAATATACTCACATACGGTTCTCTACATAAACGCACAACAGATATCATTAACCAAATTACACGGAGTCGTAATGCCGTATGGAGTAAACGTCAAGAACATCTTCTTAACGCCCAACAGCAAAGCAAAGAATTATTATTACTACTTCGTCAACAAAGTGGCTTTAGTGAATCCCCATCCGCATGTGTGGCGGAAGCACAGGCACTCATGCATCATGCAGTGATCTGCAGTGAATTACATGATAACATTCGTCTTGCCTCTTCTTCTTATTCTTCTTCCTATTCTTCTTCTTGTTATTTCTATGCGGCTGCTGAGGCCCAGGCATATCATAATGCCTCTGCGGTGTGGTTTCGCATGGAATACGAACGGTGGCAGTTAAATTTTCCAACATGTGATGATGCGTTAGCGAATGGGGTTTTGTGTGGAGCCATGGCAGCAGCGGCGTTATTGCGAGATGAACCGGATTTACGAGACTCACCAATACCACAACACGCTGCTGTACTTTTCTCTACTGCCAATAATAATAATAATAATAATAATAATAATAATAATAATAATAATAATAATAACCATCAGAGTAGAGAGAAAGGAAATCGCAGTAAGGGTAATAATAATAATAATAATAATAATAATAATAATAATAATAATAATAATAATAGTAATAGTAGTATTAACTGTGAACCAGTGATCACAGACGATATACCAAAGATGCCTAATATGCATTTATCACGTGCATGGGCGGAATTAATGCGAGTGGCGACAACTTTAGAAGATTTTCAATGTCTTGAAATGGCGGCGAATTATTATGAACTCGCTGCGGTGATTTTATTACAAGAAAAACCCCACTATTTAGATCCCCCTGTAAACACATCTGTGGAGGATGAGCAAAGTAGTCATAATACGACGAGAAGTTCCTTCTCGGCTTCTTTTCATGAACATGTCGCTGTGGCTGCGGTGAAAACAAGAACGAAAGGAATATGGGACCGTGTGGAAGGGGCATTTCATCAATTAAAGGATGTTGGTAAACATATACATACATCCACTTTACCTTCACAAGAGGAAGAAGGGGAAACGTTAAAATCCTCTTCCACACCTCTAGATAAGGAAGAAGAGAAAAAGAGAAGTACTGGTGTATTGGGTTCAAAAACACTTTTGGAAGTGACAAGAGAGGGATTTCCATTGCAAGTATACCCACGAGCATTATTGTATGAGTTTAGTTTGGCATTACACCGTGCCGCATTAGTGAGTGCCTTCACACGCGACTACGCTCGTGCTCTTCTTTACACAGATACACTTCTGCAAACATTAACAGAAGAGGCAGAACGACGACGTCCATGTAGTGATCCACCGTTATTTCCACAATCGTTTTTTCACTTCACCAAAGTGGAGAGAGAAGGAGATAATGGAATAAACAGAGAAGGGGAAAAGGAAATGAATCAGGGAGAATCTTGCAGTATGGAAGATCGCCGTTTTTCTAGTAATAGTAGTGATAATAATAATAATAATAATAATAATAATAATAATAATAATAATAATAATAATAATAAGAAAAACACGCCGCTCTCTACATTGGACTACGTACCACGACCGAAGACGACGATAATGGACAGTTTTGCTTTTCTTTTCACACATTTAACACGTTGGGTGCAACTTATTGTGTTGAAGGTGTATATTCTCCTTATTCTCTCCCTTCAACAAGAACAAGAACAGCGGCGAGAAGAAGAAGAAAAAGAAGAAAAGAAAGAAAAGAAGAAAAACGGTGATGAGGCATCATTTCCCACTGTAAGTGAGTCGGATCTATTTATGCAAGTGAGTCTCTTGTTTGATCTCGCTGGGGAGATGCGACGTGTAGGGCGTGATATTATACAACTCCGCCCTATTCCTATTCATATGGATAGTGAGAGTGAGAGGGGAAAGAGAAGAGAAATACAAGAAATGCCACTCTACTGCTTCGCACCCTATCGATTCACTACCGCAAAGGAAACGAATAATAATAATAATAATAATAATAGTGCCGATAGTGGGAAAGAAAAAGAAGAAGAAGAAAAGAAGGAGAAACCAAAGGAATTAGTTGGTGGATCTAGCCTAAGAGATGATTCATCGGGAATCCCAGAGTGTGAAAACAGAAAGACACTGCAGGCGAAAAGAATGGCTCAACGACTCTTGCAAAGTGATGCACTCCGAGAAATTCGAGCTCGAGCCGCTAAAAGATCAACAACAACAAATACCAATACCACTAATACTAATAATAATACTACTAATAATAATAATAATAATAATAATAATAATAATAATAATAATGCTAATAGTACTACTGAATTGCCTAGTCCTGTACCGTTAGGGGAAATGACAACAGGTGATGGCACCCTTAACCCTAATGTAAACAGTCATAATAGTCGTAATTCTACCACTACATCCTCCGCTGACACTTCGTCTAGTGATCGAAAACAAGAAGAAGAAAAGGAAGAAGAAAAAGAAAAAGTAGTCAAAGACGAAAAGGAAGAACCACAGATACCGCACCAAATGGATGTAAGTGATATAGACAAGTGTGAATCTGTGGATACATTGAATGATATACATATAAGAGAGATTGCGGCATCTCTTTGGGTTGTGTGTGATCGTATACACCACTATAATGATTCTGCAGTGAATGCCCCTGCTGCCCGTGCAGCTCTGCGTGTTGCTGTTGAGACTGTTGACAATCATCTCGTGGCGGCTGGGATGCGTTCACGTACACTATCAGTGATGGGCCAACGTGTCTTGCGGGAAGTGTTTTACCCATTAACAACAATAATCCCAGGGCCTCACTGAGTGTGTGTTGTTGGGGTGGTGGGAAGAAGTGAGAATAAAAAAGAAAAGAAAAGGAAAAAAAAAAAAAATTGGGGTTTGAGTGGTTGTGATGTGGAAGTTATCGTTGTGGCTGTTGTTTGCATTGTATTTGTTTGAAAAGGGGGGAAGTATATGGGGAAATTGCATGAGTATATATATATATATATATATATATACTGCGTACGAAGAAATATCCAATTTGTTATTATGTTGTAATAGAGTACATATTGCCTCTCTCTCTCTCTCTCTCTCTCTCTCTTCGTGTGTTTGTTTGTTTGTCTCTCTATTGCTACTAAGATTTTTTTTCTTGTGATAATAATGATGATGATAACGGTTGCCTTTTTCTCTTTCTTTCTCTCTCTATTAACGTATGGTATAAACAAACAACAAAAAAAGAATTTAATAAAGAATTAATTTCTCATAAGAAAATAAATAAATAAATATATATATATATATATATATATATATATATATATAATAAAAGGAAGTCATCTCCTTCTTTCTTCCTTTTTTCTTCTTTTTTTTTCTTTTTCCTCCCCTTCTTGCTCACTACTACACATCTCTTTGTATTTATATTTCCTTCTTACCATCACATTCATCTCTTCTTGTCTGTGTAGATGCACTGCGCACGGATAAGTTTAACATCTTCTTCGATTCCCTCTTCTTGTGGTCTTTTCACGGATGAATCGCGTGAGACTCGCCGGGATCGTTGTAGAGTTCAACAACAACAACAACCCTCTATATATGGATTACACAAAGGATTGGAGAAGAGGAAACAATTAATGCAGACAAGTAAGAATAAAGGAATGCAGAAGGAAAATTCAGAAGTGGATGTAAGTGTGAGTGTGAGTGTGGAAGAGTCTGATGAGATTGGAATACAGGGAAAAGAAAAAGTAAAAGAAAAAGAAAGAAAAAAAACAAAGAACGAGAAGGATATGATGATGTACAGCGAACAGGCCACTGTTGTGATTATGGCAGAAAGGGAAAGAAACGGCTCTTCACTCCCATTGTCGTCTACACTGTATACAGGCTGTAATCCCACACCGCGGGTGTATGAATTGTGTGAATCCTCTACATCTGAATTTCTATCATCACCAACACCAACAGCAGCAGCAGTAGCAGAAGTAGTAATATCCCAAGAACAACAACAACAACAACAACAACAGTGTAAATATACATATAAACAAGAGAAGGGTTGTTTGGTAGATACATGGGGTACTGCAACGATGGAGAGTACCCTTCAATCTTCAATGGAGGTGAATCGAACAACAAATGGAGCTGCCTTTGCATTTCCAAATTTTACCCCGTTGGTTGATTCCCCGTTGTCTGTACGTAGATACTCAGGCCTTTTGGTTGAACAACAATCACAACCACCACTATCACAACAACAACAACAACAACAAGTTCAATATCCACATTGTAAGCCGCATATTGCTCGCAGGTATCAAGTAACCAGCAATAAAGGGAGTTTACTCAGTAAGAATGTATACATTGATCATACGGATGAAAACGCTTTAAATTCAGAGAGCCGTATCATGTGGCGAAATGAACACGACAAGCATAGTGAATGGTTACCTTTAGTTCAACATAACAAATCAGATCATGTTCCTGTAGATCAGATCTCTACACTCTCGCAGATACAACTTCAGTTAAGTCCTGAAGTGGGGAGTATGGATATGTATGCAGGGCATTGGAATGGTTCCCACACTCCACCACCACCATCATCACTACCACTACCACCACCATTATTGGATACATCAACGGAATTGATGTCGCTTCAACAAAGCAGTATAAGGTGTCAATGGTTAGATCCAGATTATGTGGGACGTCCTCTGCAACTTGTACACAGAAACAACTGTTTGGAAGATAGTGCTACTAACTTGTATGGGAATATAGTGGAGCCAAGTACACAGTTACCAGGGAAGGTACTTTTTCCCTCATTTGCCTCCACTCATGTTGTTAATAATGAGGATTTAACGCATGAGGAGGAAGAGGAGGGATGGTTCCCATGTGTCTTGGTAAACGATCAGTCTTCAAAGCACACAGAGGATGGTAATAACAAGAATCAGAAAAAGAATAATAGTAGTGATAGTGGTGGTGATGATTATGATAAGAATAAGAAGAAGAGTAATAATAATGATAATCATAATGATGATAATAACGCTGCAGCAGCTGAGTTGGAATCTGGTGAGGAGCCACCGCTGGATATGCCTCTCTGTTTATCTGTCTCCACATTAGGGGCATATGGATTAGCCTCACCTCTCAAACAGTCCCCCTTTTGTAATACCCGAGATGAATATATTGGTTCTCGTATTCCTACACAAAATGAAAGTCTTCGTGGTGTTTACTTGCGGCATTATCCAAACAGCAGCGCACGTACAACCTCTTTCACTCAATTTGATAACATCGCTGCTACTACTACTACTACTACTGCAGCATCCCCAACAAGAACAGCAACAGCGGCAGGAGGAGGAGGGGAAAGTGCAACTTCTGCTAATATGCAGATGGATCGCTCACTGGATGCCCTCTTTAAAGTGATGGATGTACCGATAGAAATGCAATTGCGAAAGGAACGACTTATGGAAGGGGCAAGGCCAACCACAATCTCACTTGCGGAATCCATGATCTTTACAGATAGTCCACTCAATTTCACCGTTCGTTCAGATTTCCTGCAGTCCGTCTCAGAGCGAGAGAGTGTCCCTCTTGAGGAGGATGAAGAGAAGAAGAAGAAAGAGAAAGAGGAAAAAGTGAAAGAGGATAAAAAGAAGAAGAAAGAAGAGAAAGAGAAAGAGGAAAGTCATATAATAGAAAACGTGGCTGACGGCGGTGTTGTGAACAGTGGCCTCTCAAAACCGGAGTGTATTTCTCTCTTCACAGACCACGGCAATTCTCATCTACATAAAGCGGCTATGGCGGCTGCGGTGAGTGCTGTTGGGGCGATGGATAATAAATCCTTATCTCCAAACAGTATTGTTTGGAGTCCCGTCACTCATTCAATTCGCCGCAGTGGCAGTTATGGGATTCGAGATGTTGGGATGTTTACACCGCACTGCAGTGAACACACAGGGTGTCATTCCTTAGCAGATATGAAACGATTAGAAGGATCGGATGTCTTTTGGTCTCCCCTCCGTGGAGATGGCATTGTTCACTCTGGTGGGGCAGTGGGACTTGTTATTCGCAATGGTGGATTTATGCTCAGTAGAAGTTGTTCCCGCCGTACTTCTCTCACGAGTACAACAAACACGATAAGAGGTGGAAGAGATGGAAAACCAATGGTGGTGGGTTGCTGTGCTTTTCAGATGCCGACCTTTGGGACCGCCACAGCTGCGAATTCAAAACCATAACTCTAGATATATATATATATATGTTGTTTGTTTTTTTTTTTTTGTTTTAGTAGTGGCTTTTTATTATTATTATTATTATTTACATAGAGACTTCCTATCTTTTTTTTTTCTTTGGAAACGATAGATAATAAGGCGAGAATATGGAATTTATGGAAAATTTAATAGATAAATCAAGAAAACAAAATAAAAAAGAAAAAAAAAATTTGCATTGGATGTCCGCAATGATTATTGTAGTTGAGTTGGAATGAACTTAAGAAATAATTTTAAAAAAGTAAAGATAATTAAGGGGAAAAAAAGAAGAAGAAGAAGAAGGAGAAAGACCAACTTTTCTTGTGATGTGAGTTGGGTCTTTCATGATTGCGAGAGTGTATGGAAAATATAAGGAAGACAGTGGTAGAAGTAGAAATGAAGTTGAAGTTGAGAAGCAAACGAAAAGAAAAAGAAATAAAAAAAAAACGAAATGAATAGAAATAAATAAATAAATAAATAAAACGAAGGAGTAAAGTTTTTTTTTTCTTTCTTTGAAAAGGGGGCAGAAGAGCGATGATGAATAACCAAGTTCCATATGAATTGTTATTATGATTATCGTTCTTATGTATATTCCTGTATGAACGTCCTTTATTATTAGTATTATTATTATTATTATTATTATTATTATTATTATTAGTATTATTATTTTTTTCTTTTTTCTTACCTGTCTGTTATGGAAATGTGTTCTTAAAGAAAGGGATTTTGGAAGAAAATGCCCCTCCCCATACATTTGCTTTTTTTTGTTTAGAGGTATCTTTTTTTTTTTTCTCAACTCTTTTTCCCCCAACTCACCTAGAAATGTTATTCATATTCTGCATTTATCTTGGTTTGTTTTGCCTTTTTTTTTTTTCTTCTTTTCTGTTCTTCTTGTGGACACGGTCTTTTGGTTGGGTGCTTATCTATCTATCTATCTATCTATCTATCTATCTATCTATATATATATATATATATATAGAGAGAGAGAGAGAGAGTGATATCTATGTGTGCAACCGTGTGTGTATATGGACCTTATATATACATTAGATATATATATATGCAAAAATATATAGGTTGTCCATTTTCTTTGTATATATGTGCACATATGATATGGTGAGCCTAATTGTTTGAATCAACTCAGTACTCATTTGAGTTCTTTTTTTTTTCTTCTTTTTTTTGATAGTAGAGGGAAGTGGACAGCCAACTATTTTTTTTTTTTTCTGTTTCTATTGTTATTACTCTTATTACTGTTACTTCTATTCTTATTATTATTGTTGTTGGTATTATTATTATTACTATTTTGATCCCTTTTCTCTGTTGCTTTCTTTGTTTAAGTATTCGACACTCTACGCTGGTAGTGCTGTGGTTTCATTGCGAAAAAAAAAAAAGAAAAAGAAACACAAATTTAAACAAGACAAAAAAAAAGGCAAGAGAACTACAGAAGTGTGTAGTATACACAGAAGGAGAGAGAAGTGAATATACATTAATACATTTAATACATTGTATATATATAGAGAGAGAGAAGGAAAGATAGTGTGTTAGGTGTAGGAGCTCTGCGTATTATATTATTATTACTATTATTAAGAGAGAGAGAGAGAGAGAGAGAGAAAGAGAGAAACGGAGGCTCCTAGTCGAATAGGCGGCTCTTCTGTTAAAGAGAAAAGAAAAACAAAGTCGAATATATAAAAAAAAGAAAGAAAAGCAAAAAAAAAAAGGCGTAATATCAAACAAGCATTCACACAAAAAAAAAAATAAAGAAAGAAAGATCGTAGTTGGTTTTTTTTTAAAAAAAAAAAAAAGAAAAAAGAAAAAAAAAACCAATTCAAATCCATTCATTGCGTGTTTATATATATTTATTTATTTATATATATAAACAGAACAAAGGAAAAAATAAAAAAGACAAGAAAGGAATAAAAAAAAGAAAAAAAAAAAAAGAAAAAAGAGGTTCCTCCTCCTCTTCTTCTTTTTCTATTCAATCCAAATCCAAATCCAATCATTTATTTATTATTACTATGAATAATAGCAATCCGGCGGCCCGGTATGCGGCGGGGATTCCACACGGAATGCATATGAGTTACACCGCCCCTGCAGGCGCACCGAATCCCTATCAATCCATGCGCGGGGCGTATCCCATCGCCACCGCCGCCTTCGTAGCCCAACAACAACAACAACTCCAACAGGTCCAACAACAACAACTGCAACTCCAACAGGCACAGTCAATGCTGCAGGCCCAACAGGTGCAACAACAACAACAACAGGTCCATCAAACAGTGATGACGGCTCCCGTTTCGGCCGTCCATCCTCAACAGGTCCAACAACAACAACAGGTTCAAGTCCAACAACAACAACAACAACAAGTTCAACAACAACGTCCACGAGTGGCGGTGGATGGCCCGTATGGATTGTTGGCTCTTCCTGGTCTTATTCAACACTCTGCGAATCCAGAGAACAGTGAGAGTGCGGCCTTCTTCTATCTCACGCGTGGATTTGATCTCAACTCGCTTGGCATCAATGTTGCCCAGCAGCGGCCGCTGCACCCCACACTTGTGAGTTTAGCCCTCGAGCGGCCGGAGGTGCCTGTGATTGCCGAGTACCGCATTCCCGACTGCTATAAACAGGCAAAGCCGCGTCAACCCACACTGAAGTTATTACAGAAGTATAAGAATGATACCTTGTTGTATATATTCTATTCCATGCCGCGGGATCTTTTGCAGGTGGCGGCCGCACGTGTCCTCTTGGAGCGTGGATGGTGTTTTCACAAGGTGCGCCAGCAGTGGATGCGGCGGCGCAGTTCTAGTGGATTTGAGTTCTTTAATCAGAACACATGGAAGATGGAAATTGAGGAGAACTACCAGCCAAACCCCGCAGAGGTAGAGAGTGATCTCTCAGACCCCGCACATGCCAGTCTTAGCGCGGTGATTGCCGGCAGCAATAATAATAATAACAATAACAATAATAATAATACCACTGGGGGTAGTACTGTACGGGGAACAGGTGGAGATGCAGCAGCAGCAGCAGCCACAACACCAACCACCACAACATCACCTTCAGCAGCAGCAACAACAACAGCAACAGCAGGTACTGCTTAGTAAATATGACTGTAGTAATGTGTGATGGTTTATTTTTGGCGGTATATATATATATATATATATATATA